GCATCTCCCGTGCAGCAAGCCTGGGAGCATTTGGTGGCTTCTTCCCACCTTGAATCTCTTTCTGCTCTGCTCCTGAACTCCAAGAGACTGCTCTGTGGGGTGAGGTGGTTGCAATGCCTCCAGAGGAATTTTTCCACCGCAGCCAAGATATGGAAGGGTCCTCATCACACACTGAAGGAGAGATGTGGGAGCTTTTTCTTCCAGTTACAGATATGTTTCAGAAAAAACTATTAAGGAAAGAGGATGCACTATGTGTTTTATGTGTTTTGAACTAACTGGGTAGTTCTTGTCTACTTGCTGTGTGTTGACAGTTCATGTTCCACTCACCTTGAGTCTTCCACCTTCATTTTACTTTTCTGGCAAAGGCTGAGGGTGTGCCTGGGCTGCCTAAAACCAGAGGGAGCTGTGCCATCCTCCTGTCAGCTCCTGCTCTGGTGGCCAGGTGCTCCCCAGGGCTTGCTGTGTAATTCTCCCACTGTGGAGCTCAATTGAGGATGCTGTCCCTTCAGTTCACTGTCTGGTCGGACCTGCAGGGAGGTGCTTTAGATCTCCAGTGGCTTGGTCCAGCACCCTGCTGCCTGCAAGGCCTGTCTCCCTCCTTCCCTCCCATCTGGGAATGGGAGCCTGCGCTTGACTTGCTCCACTCTTCTTGCAGGGCAGCCTCCACTTAGTTAAAGCATCGTTTTGAACAGCTATGTACTTCTTATGCCCCGTCTGTTCAGTGTGGAGTGGAGGTCAGCACTGCAGCTTGTTGAACTGAAATGACTAGCCCAGCCACAGTGCAAATGCCAAGCACAAGCATAATCCCAGGATGCAGGTGGAATTTGCTGATGCATCCCCACAGTGGGTGGTTTCTTGCTTGTATCTTTTTTGTAACCTGAGTAGCCAAGTTAAAACTTGGTGTCTTGATTAGGAGAGAAATCAGTCATCATCCTGTGCCCTGTTGCACCCCAGATGTGGTTCTGCAGGATTATACTGGAGCTGGGAGGGAGCAGCAATGCTTGGCTGTGTGGCCAAGCACCACGCCAGCCTGTTGGCCTGTGTGCTGCTGGTGTTCCTACGGTAGCTGTGCTGTCTCTGAGCTCTCTTGTCCTCGTGGGCTTCTTGTGGCCAGCAAGATGCTCTGCTCTTCAGTTTGAACTTGTGGGTGGCCTCAGGTGCTGCTTTGTCTTGGTGTGTGACTGCACTTGAGGCCACTTGTTTCCAGGAGCTGATGCAGGTGAGGAGCGTTCCTGTGCTGTTTAAACTCGGGAGTCAGTACCTGGGTAGCTGGTGTAAGAGCAGCTCTAGGCACTCTTGGTCAGTTGGTTTCAGATCACTGCAGTTGATCTTGTTGAGAGTTTCACATTTTTCTGAAGGGTTACAAAACCTTATTTTAAAACGGATATTGGTTTAAAACCTTGTTTATTTTGCACTGTTGTTAACTTGGTTGTTCAAGATTTAATCAAAAGCCCCAGAGCTGCAAGTGAGGAACTTGGTGTGAACTCGGGTCTCATTTCAGAAAAGATGTTACCCTTTATAATGGCAAAGAACAGAAATTTCACCTTGTAATGGCACAGAAAACAATAGCAAATCACAGTTGTCTGCCAACCCCCCCTTGTGACTTTGGGTTGCATGAGGCTGACAGCACATTATCAGGTCAGCTTGCAGCTCATACATTTGCAAGCTCTTGTTATTTTAAGCGTGTCACCACAGCAGTGTTTAAAATAACCTCCCCAGCTCAGCTCACGTGACAGAGGTATGATGTGCAAACTGGGCTCTTACAGCCTCCTCCTTTCCTGCTAGAAACGGGACTGCGAGGAGCTGCCATGCTGCCCTGAGAGGAGCGCATGCCAAGGGAGGCTGGGGCTGCGGGAAGGGACTTTCCACTGATGACTGGTGGGGTGCGCACAGGCTGGGGTGTGAGGTGGCCCCTGCATGCCTCTGAGGTGACATTCGTAAAGGCAGTGGCAGTGTTCCAGCTGACGTCCCAAAGCCTGCGAGCAGTAATTAAAGGTGCTAGAGAAATAATTTTGAGTGCAGCTGTAAGGTCGCTCCAGCAGTGACAACTCTGGCCTCTATCCTGTATGTCAGTAAGTCCAAGCCAAAATCCACTAATTACTAGTAATGATGTTTGGGTTTGACTTTCAGGCCAGCCAGCCAGCCCGCCCTGGGCTTTTCTCAGCTCATGTTTCTACAATGAAATTTCCAAGTGTAGTTTTATTACTGTTGCAGGCAGCAGAAAGGGCTCCTGCTCCTTTACTGCAGGGTTGGATTGGCGGAACTAGGGATTGCATCAAGCTGTGACCTCTAGCAGGGATTTACCTTGGTTCATGCCCAGAGCCATGGGGACATGGCAGCTGCTGTCCTGTTGCGTCCATAGCCCGGCCTGTGCAAGTGCCTCCATCATCGCTGGTTCTGCTGGATGTTCAGCAGCTGCTTTGCCCAGCTGTCCTCACAGCAAGAACAGGAGCCAAGTTGCAGGCTGAGGTGCAACTTGGAGGTGGTTGTGCTGGAACACAGGAGGTGGGACAGGAGCGTGGACAGAGGGAAGGACAGGCAGCATGTAGTGGTGTTGCCAGTCTGGATACATCATGACCTGCATGGTGCAGGTACATGTTCTTCCTTTTATCCTTCCTGCCCCCAGCTTTGAGCTTCTGCATTCCCACAGGGAAGCAGCAGTGGTTACTAGCCCTTGGCCAGCACTGTTCTGGCCTGGAAGCTGTACAAAAGGCCCTGCTTCTACAGCTTCTGCTTCCAGGGCACCCCTGCCCCATGCCAGACAAAACTCCAGAGACGGGCTCAGGATGTTCTTCCTGCAGGGCTGCTGGCAGTAACCCCCTGCTTGTGCTGGTCACATCTCTGCAACTGTTGTCACTCCAGAGCAGGGTCACTCAGAGCTGCTGCTGGCATACTCATGCCTGTGTCTAAGCCAGCTGTAGGATTCACGTCCCTTGTTACAGCTTCATTAGGCCAAATCACTTATTTTTATAGCAGGATGATCCACAGATAGCTGTAAATCCAGGTGGAGATGAGGCACAGGTGGCTTTCACTGCAGGCTGGTTGTGCAAGGTCATTCACAGCCGGGTGAGAGCACAGGCAATGGCCAAGCTGGCAGCGCGTGTGGTGATACTACAGTGGCAGTCCCCTTTGAGGCAGGGACATGGACACTTTCATTCCCCTCCTTGTGTTTTTGTTTTCCTTTTTCACATGTACGTTTGCTGGTGTGCTGGGGGTGCTTTGTGTTCCGAGCTTGCCTGGGGACCTGGCTGCGTCCGGGGGGGCTGGTGGTGGAAGCCACTCACTTGTTCACGGGGGGAAACTTGAGCTGGGCCGGTGGCGGCACCTGAGCCGCAGCCCCTTTGCTCTCTGCTAATCGCTGTGAATGTCACAACACAGCCGGGTTTGCTGCTGGGTGCAGATAGGGTAACGATCCGACGGTGCAGTACAGCTCAGTTGTGTAAAGCGTGTGGGATTCCCTGCCTCCCAGCTCTGAGTCCCACTGGGCTGCAGCTCGCAGAGGGATGCAGCTGCCCTGTCCTCATCAGGGGTGCTCCATGTGACTGTGTCAGCACTAATGAGCAGTGCAGCCATGAGCGTGGAGTGGACCTTACTTCTTCTATGCTTCCTTGCAGAGCCTGACAGGGCAGCAATGCTTCTTGGGAACATACAGCTCCTCTGGGATCCTGTGTGGGACATTCCCACCTTTTACTGCCTCTGTTTGGGATGCTGTTTGTGCTAGAGACTGGGGCCTAACTCACAGGTTGAGAAGGCCTGGAGGGTGTGTAGGTCTGTCTGACCCAGCCCTGTTATGGATGTGAGCAGCTGTTGTGGTGCTGCAGAACAACCCCAGGGTCTCTCAGCTATGCTTTAATTATTGCAGCAAAGTGATTTTTCAGGTGAGAAAGGACTGTGTATGTGTATTGCAAGAAAACTGAGAGGGTGATGGTTGATACTGTGCTTACCCTCCTTTTTTGCTTTTTTTTTGCTTTTGAATATGCAAGCCTGTGAGAGCTGGAAGGTGGAAGAGCAAGCCAGGCAGCTTACAAATTCCTGTCACAGCTGTATCCAGGGGCCCTCCAGGCATGTGTTAAAGCAAGACAAATACCTGGCATGTGGTTTCTTTTCTCTTTCCCTTCACCTCAGGCAAGAGTATCTTGCAGGTATGGTGCAATAGTTCACTTTAGGAGGATTCAGGACACCTGTCTGCAGCTCAGTGGTCTGCCAGTTGCTCCTTGCAAGAGACTTTTCTGCAGGACTGCAGTGGGGAGGACATGTGCGTGTGGTACTGCCAGTCTCTGCTGGAACCCCAACTGCTGATGTTAGAACAGCCCTGCATTTGCTCCTTGCTGCTTTCTCAGTCCTGAGCTCTTCAGGATGCCCTCAGTCCTCGCCAAGCTTTTCTATGGGGTTATGAAAGTGAGAAAAGCATTCCTTTTAAAAGCAAGGGCTGAGGTTCTTGCCTAGTTGTGTGACCTTGGGAGCAGAAGCTTTAAGGAGTGGGGAGAAGAAAAAGAAGCGGATGTTTTGGGGTTGGGAGAGCTGGAGCACGTGGTGTGGTTTGGAGATGCTGATCTGTGGGAGTGGGCTCTGGCAGCCATGCCAGGTCCAAGGCAGGCAGCCTCCCTCTCCTTGCAGCCAAAGCTGCTGTGCTGGAGCTGCTGTGTGTGGCCCTGGCTGGCAGCCATGCACCCCTCCGCGTTTGCAGGGCAGAAGCTTTCCTGTGCACAGCACTTTTCCCAGGGCCCTCTCTAAGATGTCCTTTGTGTCCTCTGGTTTCTTGTGAGATGCCAGCTCTTCCTTTGTCTTGGTCCCAGGAGACTTTCAGGGAGCTCAGCAGATGGAGTTGTGGTTTTTCACCCTGTAGGGAGAGCAGCTTGCCCTGCTCCCTGCCTGGGCACTGGGCTGGGTGCTTTGCCTGCCAGGGTAACAGTGCCTTTCATGCTGTTGTCTTGTTTCAGGTCAGCAAAGATGCTGCTGTAGATGACTGACTCACTTGTGCCTATGTGCTATGGCTCTATATGGCCTCTGCAGGACCTGAACACACTAGTCCGGGCCCCACACAGGAGAAGAGTGTCCGGGTTGAGTCTGGCACCCTTCCGGCAAGGAATGCTCAGCTGCGCTGGGCCTGGCACCTCACTCAGCAGCAGGCAAAACCCATCTGGAATTTAGAGAGGACGCATGTGAGTGCTTTCCACAGCCTGCTGCCCTCCGGGATCCCTCTGCAGCAGTCCTGCTTCTTGTGCTCACCGTCACTATGCCACGCATGCCCCAGTGAAGATGCCCTCCTGAGCCTGGCCTCAGCCCAGCCCTGCCCAGACCCAGGCAGGAGCACTCTGTTCTACCGACACTCCTGCCTCAGACCCAAACCCTATGGGCTTCCTTTCCAAAGCCCTCTGAACACTGGCTCTGCCACAGGAAGGGTGATGTCTTCCTTGCTGACAGAACCCTGCCTGCCACCTGTGCTGGCAGAGGAGCGCTCTGAGACCGGGGTCAAAGGCTCTGCCCTGAGCTCAGGTCAGCAGGCTTCCAGATTCTATAGACCAGTGCTCAATAACAACTCCTTCCTACGGCCAAGCAGTGCTAAAGTGCCTTTCCCTCAATCACTGGAGATCAATAAGGTGAAAAACACCCACAGCTTCCCCACCACATGGTCCTGCTCTGAGCATGGAGACAGCTCCCCCAGTAGCCTGGACAACAGAGCAGTTAAAAGCAGCAACCATGCATTGGAGCAAACTGTAGTCCCCTCTGTGACCATTGTGCCCAGCAGTGCAACCCTCAGGAAGGACCAGTGTTTGCAGGAAGATGCTGAGAGAACGCACAGCTTAAAAGAAAATGAGCCAGAGATCCACATCAGAGAGGCTGTGCAGCAGCTGCCCGGACAGACTGCCACACGCAGTGGCTTTGCATGCAGAGTCCAAAGCTCTGCCCTTATGAACATGGGCAGCCTGTCCAACTGGAACAGCAGGTGCAGGCAGAACATCACAGCACAGCTCACCCCAAAAGAAACCATCGCTCCTTGCAACTTGGAGCCAGGTAGCCACTGCCTTAACAGTAACTCAAGCCTTGCAGGCACCGGTGGAGCCACTGGCTGCACGAAGCATACCGGGGTCCATCTCTTGGCCTCGTGCGCCGCTTCTCCCGAGCACAGTGCTGACTGCTGGCGCGTGAGCACTCCGAGCCCGTGCCCCGCGGACAGAGCCGTGAGAGCAGAGCCTCCGCACGTTGCAGCCGTCGCCAAAGTGGCAACTCGGATGTCCATGATCCAGCTGGAGAAAGAGGAGACATGGGCCCACGCTGTGCTCCCAGGAAAGCTCGAGTGAGTAGCTGGGTGGCAGTGTGGGCTGGGCTGGCTGTTACGTCTGTGTGTGCTGGGAGAGAATGCACTGTGGCCACTCTGGAGGTGGCCATAAGGATAACCATGGGCTGCATTCCTGAGCAAAACCCATCTGCAGCATCCTGGTGCAGGGGGAGCTTTCCTGCTACCCCAGCTTGGCTCTGAGCCCCTCCACCTTCTCCTTCAGCCACAATATGGAATTGCTGTGTGGCAATTCTAGCTCGCTCCCCACACAGTCACAGGGTCCTGCCTGCTATGGCAAGCTCTGCGTGTATGTTGGGTGAAGCCTGCTGTTGAGCCAGGTCCAGCAAGGCTTTCCTGGGCAGAGTCATGGGTTCCTAAAGGAATGTGGACAGGGAGGGAGCAAGGATGCGGAGCTCCTGCTCTCTTGCTGGGAGAGGGTGTCCTTGTGCCTCTTTCTGGCTGCTATGGGGCCTCTCCATCTTGCTAGACTGGGATCAGTGCTGGTGTATCAGTACCAGGGAGGGCAGTGCTGTTACTGCCCTGTCCACATTATCTCATGGTGTCTGGTGGGCTTCTGGGTCTGTTGCCCCTTGAAAACATGTGCCACTTCTTCTGATGTGATGTCCTTTGCCCCAGTGTCCCTGCTGAGCAGTCGCCACTGTTGCTGAGCCATCCCCAGAATGAAGCAGAGGAAGAACTTCCTGATGGCCTGGATGAGAGCAGCAGTCAGGAGGAGGATGAGGACAGTAAGTGCTGCTTCCCTAGGGAGGCTGTGCTCCATGCCTTGAGGTGGGGAGTGTGGGGTCTGTCTGGGAGCTGGGGGTGAGCACAGCTCTCTCCTGTCTTACGTTCATGTTGTCATTTCAGGATGACCTAGAGATTGTGCTGAACCCAAAAGCAATATAGCAGCAAGGAGGAACTGTATGGTTCCTCTGGGGAGCAAGCTAGGGTTCAGCACTGTCCTGCTCCAAAACTTAGCCATCTCCTCTCTGTGCAGGGCTGTAAGCTCCACCCCCTGCCCTGCCTTTTATGCCACCAATTAGTGGGCAAAATCCGGGATCCAAGGATTCAGGGCATCTGGGAAGGGTCTGTCCCCTGGAGCATTTGTTTTCTCTTTTCCCCTTCTAACTACATGCATTCACTCCCTGTGGAGATAAAACCTGAGTCTGTCCCCTTCTGCAGGTGACTCGGATGCTTCCTCTGTCACTGGCATATCATCCAGTGGATCTGTGGCTCTTGTATCCAGGTTAGTAGCAGTAAATAGTGCATTGAACTTCGCATCTTTGTCCAGACTTGTCCACCTTGGTGACAGAGGAAGGCTGTAGCACGTGGGGGAATAGAATGGAGGTAGTAGAATCATAGAATCATAGAATAGTTAGGGTTGGAAAGGACCTTAAGATCATCTAGTTCCAACCCCCCTCCCATGAGCAGGGATGCCACACACTAAACTATGTCGCCCAAGGCTCTGTCCAGCCTGGCCTTGAACACCGCCAGGGTTGGAGCATTCACAACTTCCTTGGGCAACCTATTCCAGTGCCTCACCAGCCTCACTGTGAAGAACTTCTTCCTTATATCTAACCTAAAGTTCCCCTGTTTAAGTTTAAACCCATTACCCCTTGTCCTACCACTAGAGTCCCTAACGAAGAGTCCCTCCCCAGCATCCTTGTAGTAACGGGCTTCCCTGCTACTCTGCAGACCAAAGCTACTTCTCTTGCTACAGGCAGCAGCCTGCAAAATGCTGAGGTGCATCCACCACATCAAAACAGGGCTCTCAATTTCATTGCCACTGCTAGTTGCTGGGTTAGGCAACTGTGCTCTTGCAGTGCTGTTGCCTTGCACATGAAGCAGAATGGAGGCATCCTAGGCCAGAGACTGCAAAGCTCCGTGGCGCCTTGTGTCTCCTAAAAACAAGTCCTGGAGCCTGGATTTTTCTTTAGGTTTTGGGAGGAGGTTTCTCTTGATTTGTCAGCCTGCGGTCACCAGAGCTCTGCCTCTGTGACTCCTGGCAGACCTCTCTGAGACCTGTTCTTGCCAATCCAGCAATGGGAGCTGGTCCTTGCAATTGTGCTGCTCCTTGTAGCAGGGCTGCCTCGGGCTTTGCTGCCTGCCTGACAATGTGCTGCTTTCTGTCATGCCATAACTCACCTGGGAGACAAGGAAGACTTCCTGCAAGCAAGTGTTGAACCTCAGGGTGCTGTAGGGTGTGCACACATGGCTGTGAAAGTCCTGCAGAGGTGACAGATTGGATCAGCAGTTGCTTCTGTCAGGACGTGGCTGATTGGCCTCCAGGGGCAGATGAGGGGAAGCAGCACTTGGGCCAAATGCCTCCGGCAGCGGGGAGTTGGACACTTCTCTGTGTGGGCTGTGTGTTTGGCTGGCCTCAAAGCCTTTGCTGCTGTCTCCTGTCTTAAGTCTGTTGTGGGCAAACCCAATTTTGTGTCAAGGAATGTTAGTATAATTTATTGCCAATTGATAAACTTTTAATTACTGATTCTGGTGTTTAAATATATGCATATATACAATGATTTAGGAAAAACACTTCTTCTTCCCCCCCCACCCCGATCTCTAGCCCCCTCACTTATGTCTACACTCAGTCCCTTCAGTGAGGTAGGGGGTGGCCTGGGAGATTGGAGTCAATGTGTTGTGGTTCCTTTTCTTTTGCTGCTCTTAGTTCCTTAGTGGGTTGCTCTGGTGTGGCTTCCACTGGCTGCAGTGGCATATATTGAATATATGTCCATTATAAAGTCTACTTTTAGCATCATCCCAACCTGAATAGATATGTTGTAAGTTCTACCTTTCCTCCCAGGTGCTAGGGATTGCTGTGGTAAGAAGGAGGATGTACAGTCAGTAAAACTCTGTCCCTCTTCCTCTTGGTTTTGGTGTGTTGCAGGGGTTACAACAGCTGAATCATATATATATGCATTACAACCTCCACCCCTTGTTCCTGTGGACTAGGTTGTAGGGTTTGTCATGTAACAAACTCCACCCCCTTGCCCTGGCAAAGCACAAAACCCATGGGGTTACAATGCTTGGCATGTGCATTCATTGCACATGTCCTTGTCCTTGCTGCAGACTGGGTTACTGACCTTAGCACCCATTACTTGCACCACATCGCAATGATGCAAATTCCTGCTACCAGGATCAAGGCCCCTTCTGGGCTTCCCTCTTCCTCCCTGTGCTTATTTTCACCTTTAGCCAAATGCCTACTGCTTTCTCTCATAGGAAGTGCATCGAGTGCCTGGCCCAGCCTGCTGAGGCTCAGGAGAAAGTGCTCAAACCAGCTCTTGTCTCCAGTTTATTTCCTAATGTGCCTCCAACTCTCTACTTCAGTACTCGGGATGAGACAGGTGAGCTGGGGTCTGTTGCTGTGCAGGGTGAGAGCAGCCAGCCTGTTACTAGCAAGCAGCGGTGCCAGCACACAGCATTCCTTACTCTGATGAGACCCAGCGCCACTGTCAGATCCAAAGGGCTGGAGTAAAATGATGGCTGCTCCTGCAGCCTGGAGCATGAGTCAGGCTGCCGCCAAATGTTCCAGCAGCCTGGATCTCCCCCAGCCGTAGAGTCCTGTGCTCCATGCTAGTTTTGCATAGGGGCCTATGCATCCTCCCCTGCAGGCCTGGTGCCTGTGCAGTGAACTTAGGGAATTTCACCTGGTGCAGCCGTACAAAATGCAGGTATTGTGTTCGTTTTCCTTCTGTCCTTATCTTCTTGTCTTCCTAGTGGAAAAGCTGCCTTGGGAACAGAGGAAGCTGCTGCGATGGAAAATGTGCACAGTCACACCAAACATAGTGAAGCAAACCATTAGCAGATCCCACTTCAGAATCAGCAAAAGTAAGTTGTGGGAGGCTGGAAGTATCCAGCATATCACGTCCTCCCCCGCCCCTAGCCTGTGAGCATGAGAAGGCAGGCTGCCTGCAATGAGCAGAGCTCAGCATTGCAGGATGCTGGGTTCCCCTGTGTGACCTGCAATATCTGAGCTCTGTGGGTCTTGATCTCCCTCTTGGCTTGTCCCTGGCATGGACAACAATGATTTATTCCTGGATTGTCACAAGCTGAGGCAGTGTGTGGGGCAGCAGAACTTGTTTGAGCTATGCCTCTAGGTGGTGCTGCCCCTCTAAAGAGGCTGGCACTTACATGGTGCCAACCCCAACACTGCAGCATCTTGTCTCCACGTGTTGATGAAAAAGCCATCCTCTCTGACCATAGCCAGAGAGTTCTCCAGGTTGAGATCTGGGTTGGGGGCTGGGGCTGGGGAAGCACTGAGCATTTGCAGCTACAATCCATGCCCTGGAGTGTGATCTTGCTGTAGTACTTGTGGGGCTCCTGTGTGTATTGGGAGACCCCTACACAGACCATTTTGGGGCTATTAATGGGACACAGAGGGCAGATGCCAGTCATAGCTCTTGGTTTGGCAGCTTTGGAGTATCCAGTAGGAGTGCTTTGTGCTATTCTGTGCAGCATCCCTGGCATACTTCTGCTAGCCCCAGGAAGTGGGCTAGAGGGCTTTTTGGGTGACAGGGTACTCGGTCATGGTTTATCTGGTTTTCCTGCAGAAAGCAATGACTGGCTGGGATACTGGGGCCACCACATGAAATCTCCCAGCTTTAGAACCATCAAGGAGCACCAGAAGGTAAGAGATGTTTTGGGCTACCCTCCTTCAAGTGCAGGGAGAATGTATTTGGAGCAGTTTGGATGCTCCTGTCTTCAAGCCCAGATGTTTGCTGTGCAGGCTATCCCCACAGTGTCCCTTCCAACGTGTGGTAGCTGGCAGTCCTGTGCTGGGACATGAGCTCAAAAGACAGGTGCAGCTGGGTGAGCATCCTTGCTGTGACAGTGGCTCTTGTACACACTGAGGCTGTAGCCAAGCCATGTTCACTTGTGAGCTCATCTAAATTCAGATATTGTTGCTCAAAGCAGTCCTTCCTTTGGCAGAACTGAACGGTAGGGCCAGTGCCCCCTGTCAGCACAGTCAGAAGGGCGGGCAGAGAGGGCCATATCAGAAAGCCCATGGCTTAGGGAACATGCAAGGGACGAGAGGTTTGACATCTGTCGCACATACATGTTTGTTTTGGAGAGCTGTCATGCTCTGAACTGCTCAGTCTTGAGGCAGCATCCATGTTTGGAAGCTAGCAGCCTCCAGCCCTGTGTCTGTCGTGCTGTGGGGTCTGTCTGTCCCTGGAGCTTGTTGCATGGTCAGGACTCTGGCATACAGTTGGGAAACAAGTGGGAAGCTACTGGCACTGAGGATACTGCCAGAGGAAATTCAAAGGCTGAGGGTTAGTGCCCTGCAGCTGCTTAGACAAGCAGAAGAGATGAGGTAGCAGCAGGCTTTGTAGCTGGTGTGGATCACTCTGTGGGATTTTGTCCCTGCAAGGCTTCTGAGCACTTGGGTCCTTTCTTGGTGCAATTCTGGGAGGGGAGCAAAGGACGTTACCCTGCACTGTGTTCAGAAAGGATATATCCTCTTATCAGGGAGCAGCAAGGGGTGGGCAGGAAGGTGGAAAGCAGTGAGATCTCACAGCATCTGGGTTCTTTTCCAGTTAAACCACTTCCCTGGGTCATTTCAAATTGGGAGAAAGGACCGTCTGTGGCGCAACCTGTTGAAGATGCAGGCTCGCTGTGGGAAAAAGGAGTTTAACTTCTTCCCCCAGTCCTTCATCCTGCCCCAGGACATCAAACTTCTCAAGAAAGCATGGGAGGAAGGAGCTAGCCACCAGAAATGGATTGTGAAACCAGTAAGTGCAAAGCAGAGCTCAGTCCTCTGTCCCACTGTAGCTGCAGGGAGATCTGATCCCTTCTTATTTGTGTTTTGCAGCCAGCATCAGCAAGAGGTATTGGTATCCAGGTCATCCACAAATGGAGCCAGCTCCCCAAAAGGAGACCACTGCTGGTACAGAGGTGAGTGAAGGAAAGCAAGGTTGACACACAGCCTGGGACCTTCTCATGTTCAGTCTCTCTGGCTGGGTTTGGGCCGCTGCCACTATGTGGCAGAGCAGAAGCACTTGATTTGCATCTGGAAGCATCCCGTCTGCCTGGGTGTGATGCTGCAGCTGAGCTTACCAGAGAGCTGCTGTCTCTGTGAAGATTTTTGAGGTCTCAGTTACAAACTGGCCCCACAAGTGTTCTGGAGCTTTTGTCCGGCAGGTGATCAGCTTCAGCTCTGCTGTGATCCTGCTCCCACTGCTTTGTGATCTGGGCTTTGGCATCTTTGGAGGCAGACAGACCTTATCCAGTGCCCACAAGCACAGTGGGAAGAGAAGTCCCAGGGAAGATGTGACAATTGTCAAAGATCTGTTCTTATCCAAGTTAGAATGGGTTAGTAAGAGCCTCTGTGTGTGCGTATCTTTGTTGTCAAAGGGTTTTCTAGAAATAACAGGATTTTCAGAATCTCCTCCCCCTTCTGCAGAAAAATGGAATAGCTTATCTTGGTTTGAGGCTGCTTTCTGGGAAGGTTCTTATGAGGGCAGGTAAACTGCCCAGTATTTGGCAGACAGGGAACTGCTGTGTTGCCTTGTCTGTTCTTCCTGACTGCTTCTGTGCAAAGTGATGAACTTTCCTATGGAAAATCATGAACTTGTGGGCTGAAGAATCAAATTATTTGGATGAAAATTTCCAACTGTTTCTGCTTGTTGAACCAAACCATCTGTGGCCCACTGCATCTAAGACTGCATGTCTTAAATGTTCCTGAATACTGTGATCAGCCTTGTGGGTGTGGAAAAGCTACTGTGCCTTAGAGCCAGAGAAAATATCTTCAAAATGGAACTGAGCAGAAGGGAATACTGCATGGGAGAGCTTTTTTCTCTCTCATTTTCACTGTGATGCACTTACAAATGCTGTGCAAAAGGGCTTCTGCATTAATTCCTATTTTTCCAGGCCTTATGAAATGGGGGTTAGAGATATTCCTGCACATGGAACTCATAACCCTCCTCTGGTACTTGCTTCCCTCTGCAGGTACCTGCACAAACCCTACCTCATTGGTGGGAAGAAGTTTGACCTGAGGATCTACGTTTACGTCACTTGCTATGATCCCCTCAGGGTCTACCTGTTCAAGGATGGATTGGTTCGCTTTGCTAGCTGCAAGTAGGTTGTGTGGGAGAGCAGTGCTGGGGGGCTGCCTCAGCGCTGAGGAGTGTCGGCTGTGGTACCTGCCCTTGGCTGGGGCAGGAGGGAGTCATCCCATGCAGGGTGATGCTTAAAGCTCTAGCTTGCTTGCTTGCTTAAGAAGCAGTCTGCAAACACACGGGGTCACTGCAGGTGAGTGTTGAAACGGAATGTGAGAGGATGCTTCATTTATCCATCTTTCCCAAGACAAGATCAGCTGAGTGAAAAGCAGTTCTTGCAATATGCAGTCTGTGCTTCATACTCTGTAAGAGCTGGCGTACGAGAAACTGAGATGTTTCTTCCAGTTTTAACTATATTGCCTCGGGCTGCTGCAGTTCTGTCAGTGCTTTTGCTCACTGAGGCTCTGGTCTTTTTTTAAGGATGTGCTGTGAGGGTGGGAATGCATCCCACTGCCCCAAGGCAGTCTGCTCTGTCTCATGCGTTGTCCCATCAGCCCTGGGCCCGTGGGGACAGATTGTTCCAGGCAGCCTGGGAAAGGGAGGCAGCAAAGCTGCTGGGTGGCCAAGGGTGGTCTGAGACGAGAAGAGTTTCTGCCTGCCCCATGGGCCTGCAGGCAGCCAGTTCAAGCTCAGACTACTTGTGCTCCTGTTGCTTCCTTCAGGTATTCCTCCTCGATCAAGAGCCTCAGCAACAAGTTTGTGCACTTGACCAACTACAGCGTGAACAAGAAGAATGCGGAGTACAAGTCCAACTCAGATGAGACTGCTTGTCAGGGACACAAGTGGTAGGTGCTGCTTTTAGGGCACAGGGCAGCTCTTTCTATTCCCTGTTGAGTCAGCCTTTTTTCAGTATTCTTACCCAAAATGTGAAGGTGCTTCCTGCATTGTGTGCTCCTGCTTGGGGAAACTGGAGGAGCAGAGTGATTTTAGCATGGGTTAGAGTCAGTGAAATCTGGATGTTCTCCCTGGCTTGTGACTCATCCTGTCTGCTGCTGCTTGGGCTGTGGTGATTGTTCATCCTGCCTGTGTTTGTGCTGTTCCCTGCTTCCAACTCTGCTCTCATGCGTGCTCATTCATCCTCTTGCCTTACTGCAGGGATGATCTGATGTGGTTAAAGCAGAATCTGATTTTTTGCTGTTAGAATTTGAATGGATAATTGTGATGCTTAAGTTGGCTAGAAGGCAGCTTCTGCCCATCTGATTCTTGACTTTCCTGGGGAGGCAGAGAAAAGGACCATCCTGGTGCAAAACTGTGATAATTTATGTGCTACTCAGAGTGAATAGGAGCAGGAGTGCCATTTCTAGGCATTTGGGAGAAGGATTGCAGTCTGGCAGCAGTTCTGTTCCTTGCTATCCCATGCGTGGACTGATCCAAGGCCCCAGGCACTTGTCTCTGATTCCACAGTGATGTTTGAAATCTTTTAAAAATAGTGCAGGATAGAGTTCTCAATTCATGGGTCTGGGCAGGGCTACTTCAGTTCAGAGGGAGCTGCAGAAGGTTGGTTGTTGTGGTAGGGTTGCTTTCTCAGGCATGGACTTGCTGTTCAGTGATCTGTTCCTCCACTGAGACTTTGAGTCTGCTGTCCCCCAGCAGCTGAAATCCCGTGGGGTGGGATTGTGTAGGTTTTTGGTACTGGAATACAAGTCAAAGCTGGCTGTTCCCACATTAAAGATGAGAGTAGCTGTAATATACTCCATCTCGTATGCAGGAAACATGACCTTTGGATTCCTGGCCATTAGCCACATGGTCTCACTTGAGCAACATCTGAGCATCCTGGCTCAGATGGTAGCTTGCAGCACTTGGTGTGGTGTGGGAAACTCCTGTAAAAGCAGAGATGCTTCTCCCTACCATTTTGTTTTCAACACATTCAAAAATGTTTCTCCACCCCCGAAGCCTCAGTGAAATGGCTTTAGCTAAAACAGAGGG